AGTGTGCAAGTTCTTAACTATTATTTCAAGATGAAAACACTCATGGAGATGTGCAAAGGGCCTGCTAACATTGTGTTACAAACAAATGAAATTATTCCCAACTGCCTTGTAAGTACTGTTTCTTTTGACTCTCTTGGACCTGAAGAACAAAATTTACATTTTCCAAATCAGTTTTTCTTCTTACTAATTTTCAAATAAAAGTTTTTGTATTAATGTCCAAATTTGAATATAAATTTTATTTATTTTCAGTTATTCTAATTTATTTGCTATGATGGAACCAAATTTAAAAAGTGACATAATTTTATATCCAGGTAAAATGAAATGGCAATGACTAGACAGAGACAAAAATGAAAGCTTGCAGAAGTACAGAGAAGGATTGGGAATCCTTTAAAAGACAGTGTAATGAATCAGAAGCGACTTCTGCTATTGAATGTAATGGGTGCAAATCATTGTACTAGTACTGCTAGTGCTGAGTTACTAATAGCAATGCGAATATAACAACATTTATTCCAAATTCTGCATTAATTCCTTGCTGTAGCTAAAAAAAAAAAAAAAAAGAGAAATAATGTAAAAGTGAAGCTGTTTTAGCATCTGAAATTGTTGTATCTGTAGATCTCATCAATAATAGAAATACAGAGCCTGTTTTGTGGAATATTTTTTCTTCTAATCATGTAAATTATTGGAGTGAAAGAAGACCAGGCAATTGTTAACATCACAGTGGACCATTTGAAAATTCTTGTTGAAAATTTCTGGATGGTAAACAAGCAAGATTATGTGGCCAGAATATATTCCTAGGGTACAAAGCTAATGGTGAAAGTTATAGGAAGGTGTGGTTACAATATTCTCCTTTAGTTGGTTCTGTATATTGTTTTGCTTGCAAACTATTCAGTCCTTAATCCTTTAAATCTTGATTTGCTATGGATGGATTTAGCAATTGGCGCAACTTGAATATGATTGATAAACATGAAAATAGTTTAATTCACAGAGACTATATGATGTCATGTTTAAACCGAAGACATGGTTTTGGCTTAATTCATGAACTTGAAGCACACTAATGAAGAACAGTGATACTGGAAGGCAGTTTTGTAACAATCGCTGGATGTGGACTATCTTTTCAAGAAAGAAATGAAGTGTTTGGGTTCCCGCAAAATGAAATTTGTTGGGTTCACTTGAACTTGTTGCTCAGTTTGGTCCATTCTTAGCATATGGTAACACAGGAAAGGGCAGCCCTTTGTATATGCCTAGAACAATGTGTGAAGAATTAGTGAACTTAAGGGATAAAGTTCAATCATCTGTTTTCAGTGAAATTGATATAATCCGATATTTCAGTTTCCACTCCTGATCTCTCTTATACAGATCAGCTAAATTACTGTTTTAAGATACATGTTTCCAATAGGTGGAAAACATATCAAGCAGTTTATCACATTTACTGGCTTAAAAAGTCATACTGGTGAAGAAATTGCAAATCAGGTACTTCACTAGTTATATGAAGTTTGCAAAATTGATTTTTCCAAATCCAGAGGTCAGTCCTATGACAGTGCTGCCAATATGCATTATAAAGGCATACAACAGAAAATTTCAGAATGTAATTAATATGCCATTTTCATACGAGGTTCTGTGCATTCACTCAATCTTATAGGACATAGTGCAATAGATTATTGTCCAGAAGCAGTTTTCTTTTTAATACTGTTGTGTTACTCTGTTCATTTTTGCCACTTCTACTCACCAATAGGCAGTTCTTAAAACATAATTAGGCAATGATCAATTATTAAAACACATTTGTAATACAATTTGGGAAGCACATGCTATAGGAAGGGGTGCATTCCTAGAATTGTGCACTCAGATTCTAGATGCCTTAGAAAATATTGCTGAAAACCAGACACAAAAAGAAGATACCAGAAGAGAAGCTGACTATATCACCAACAAAATGCAAACTCTAAAGTGTGTGTTTATGCTGGTTATGTGGAATAATGTATTTGTAGCATTTTCATTGGGTGAAAAAAGCTCTGCAAGATTCAGAAGTAAATGTAAAGACATACACAGATTTCTACCAGTCACTAAAAGGGTATTTACATAATTTAAGAAGATTTTGAAAACATGACACAACAAATACTGCCAAATACTGATTGTCAAGCAGTTCACCATCACAGAAGTATCAGAAAGAAAGAAATATGTGAACTGCTGTATGAAAAGTGAATTTACTCTGTAAATCTTCACCCAAATCCTAATAAATAAAAAAAAAAAAGAAAGAAAGAAAGAAATAAGTGATGGAGGTGCTCCAGAAATACCCTTGAGTGCCAGAGATCAATTTCACATAACCATATACTCCACATTGACACACTTGAATCTTGCATGAAAAGAAGGGCAAAAGTGTTTGAAGTTCTTTCAAATAGATTTTCCTTCTTCAGCAATGTGGATATACCTGATAATGAATGCCTGAAGAAGCATCCAAGAAATCAGTGCAGGCTTATCCCAATGACGTAAATACAAACCTTTACAGAGAAATGCAATAATTTCATTTTTGCGTGACAACTAACTTTACAGATTCATGTATAATTCCATAATAAAAAATAAAATACAGTGTATATTTCCCAGTGTTGAAATTGCTTGACACATGTTTTTAACTTTAATGATCACAAACTGTACAACAGAATGCTCATTTTCTTCCCTAAAGAGACTCATAAAACCTCCACATACAACAATGATTCACTGCACACTCTCTCACCCTACAGGTCTTGGGTCCTGAGGCTGCCGGCAGACTATGGGTACAACAGCCAGCACAGCCCAGCAGACGGTCTCAGCGGGCACCCCCTTCGAGAGCCTCCAGGGTGGTGGCACGATGGATGGGCGGCACTCACTCAGCGTTCACTCCTTCCAGACCACGAGCTTGCACAACAGCAGGGCCAAGTCCATCATCCCTAATAAGGTGGCCCCTGTTGTGATCACGTGAGTGGTGGTGGGAACTCGACCCGCCCTTGGGGCTTGGATTCCCTGGAAGACACAGGGGAGCTGCCTGGAGGTTGTGGATATGTAGGTGTAAAAACTGTTTCAGTTTTGCAGCTGAAGAAACTGAGGCCCAGAGAGCTCAAACAGTTGTCTGGAGCCACACGGCAAATGGGTGGCCAGAGCAGGGTCTCTGTCATAGGTCTGTGAGCCCATGTTACTTACACCATGTCCACAGTACCAGGGAATGTGGAGAAGGAGAAGTGGACTGGAGGGAGACCTTTATGAAAATTAGCTGAAAGTTTTTAAGGGGAGTTTATATACTTAGATGCATAAAATTTGGGATTCCCCCTCCCATAGGAGCTCTGGTAGCGTAGTGCCTAAGGCACTTGACTACTAACCAGAAGGCTGGCGGTTCAAACCCACCAGCCACTCCTCGGAAGGAAGATTGGGCAATCTACTTCAGTAGTGATACCGCCTCGGAAACTCAAGGACGGGCGTTATGAGTCGGGTCCTACTTGATGGCAAACAACACCCATAGTCAGTAATTGTGGCTTGAAATGGAGGTTAACACCAGGCTGGTTAGGAGTATTGGGCTGGGAAAGGTGGGAGCTGCTGGGTCTAATCGCCTAGCTAGGTCCTTCAGGAATGTTCCTGGAGGAGGTTCAGGGTTGGTCTGGCAGCACATTTTGAGAGAGACCTGGACACACTGTATCTATGTAAAGGAAGTGGTTCAGGAAGGGGGCCCAGAAACCCTGTCCTGTGGGCCTGGCTGGAGAAGCAGTGCTGGACAGGAAGACAGTAGGGACATTGGATACCTGTCTCCTGGTGAGCCGGGCCTCGTACTTTACATCACATCTGTCCTCTGCACTCCCCCGCCTCTGGGCTCTTCCAGGACGGCAGGAAGCGGACATAGTGAGCTCAGAATTAAATATGTTCCACACATAGAAGTTTGGCATAGATCTCACAGATGGGGCCTCTAGTGTGACAGGAAAATGGTAATCATCATAAATTACTGTGGTCATGATAAGGGGAGGGAAGGAGATGTTACATGAAAGAGGCTGGAGATTTAGTCTTTGTAATGGCAGACGAGGAGCCCTGGTAGTGCAATGGTTAAGTGCTTGGTTGCTAATCAAAAAGCTAGTGGTTTCCATCCACCCAGCAGCTCCATGGGCGAAAGATCTGGTAACCTCCTCCTCTAAAGATTGCAGCCTAGAAAACCCTGTGCAGCAGTTCTGCTCACTAGGAGTTTGAAACCAACTCAGTGGCACCCAACAACAACAACAATGGCAGACAACAAAACTAGGTCTGGGAATTGAGGGCAGCATAGGGAGACACATGCCCTGTGCCTGCCCCTGCCTCTTTCTTGCTTTGTGACCTTAGGTAAGTCTTTCCCTCCCTAGGCCTCAGTTTCTCTATCAGTGTAAGTAGAATGATATTGAAAATATTTAATCAAGTGATGTGGTTCAGGGGAGCCCTGTGGTGCAGTGGGGAGAGCACTCAGCTGCTAACCAAAAGGTCAGCAGTTGGAACCCACCATAGGAGCTCTGGTAGCATAGCACCTAAGGTACTTGACTGCTAACCAGAAGGCTGGCGGTTCAAACCCACCGGCTACTCCTTGGAAGGAAGGTTGGGCAATCTACTTCCGTAGTGATAATGTCTTGGAAACCCAAGGAGGGGTTGCTATGAGTCACGTCTGACTCGATGGCACTCTCCTTGCATAGACATACCTAATTGTTCAGCCTGTCCACCCATCTATCCACCCATAGATCAGTGTTTGTAAAAGCTGTTCAACAACATAGGAGAAAGATGTGACAGTCTTGCAGTTGTAAAGATTAGCCATGGAAACCCTGTGGGGCAGTTCTATTCTGTCTTGCAGGGTTGCTGTCAGTCACAATTGACTTGTTGGCAGTGTTCGGTTTTGGGTTTTGGTGTGGCTCAGAAAGTTGCCAACCATCTGTGCAAATTTGGTACAATAGGTTTTACTTGTGTCCCCCCTGGAGTCAGCTATACAGGACTCCTTGGAATAAGTGTTTAACTGGAATATAGTGTTACCTTAACTAGTTGCCGTGGAGTCGATTCTGACTCGTGGTGACCCTGTGTGTGTCCCGAGTAGAATTATGTGCTCTACAAGGTTTCCAATGTCTCCTTTTTCAGAAGGAGATGGACAGGACTTTCTTTTGTGAAGCCTTTAGGTGGACTGAGACCTCTAACTTTTGGGTTAGCTGAGCATGTTAACCATTTGCACCACTAAGTGATTTCATAAAGGATCTTAGAAGGGGTATAGGAGTTGGCAAATGACTATCTGTGGGCCAATTTGGCCTACTGCCTGTTTCTGAAAATAAAGTTGTACTGGAACATGGCCACTTCCATTCATTTATATATTGTCTATAGTTGCTTAGGGCAGTTTTGTAGTTTCCACAGAGTATATGGCCCACAAAGTCTAAAATATTTACTTTTTAGAAAAGGCTTGCTCACCCCTGATCTGATACAGCCTCCTCATTTTACGTGTGGAAAAACTGAGTTTTGTGGTAGTTGATAGATTTGTCTACTTCGGGTCACATGGTGATTTGATGACAGAGGAGTGAGCTAGAGGGGGACCTTTTTGAAAAGAACTTTTGGCTGAACATCTTCAAAGGAAGTTTATATACTTAGATGCCTTTCCTAAAGGCCATTCTTTTTTTTTAAATTTTATTGTGATTTGGGTGAAAGTTTACAGAACAAATTCATCTTCCATACAGCAATTCACACACACTTTGTCTCATGACATTGATTGTAATCTCCCACAATGCGACAGCTCCCCTCCCACTTCCTCCCCATAGTTACCTCTTCCCTGTGTCCTTCCCTCTTATGTACTCCTGCCCCTCCAGCTGTCTCCCTGTGCATACACAGCCCTTGTACTGTGATTGATCTCTCCAAGAAGTGTATCTACCTAAATGTAAATGTTCAGCTCATATGCCTGTCTTTTGTTTGACTGGAAGCCATGAGTGGGTTCAATTCCAGAGCTGAGGGGCAGCTAGGGGCCATAGTCTCAGCGGTTCCATCAGGCTCTATCAGACCAGCAAACCTGGTCCCTTTTTGTGTGTGTGTGTGTGTATGTGTGTGATTTTGAGTTTTGTTCTACATTGTTCTCCCATTCCATCCAGGATCTCCTACATAGATCATGCTCCGAATGGTTGACAGTGGTAGCCAGGCGCCATCTAGTTCTCTGGTCTCATAGTCATGCAGGCTGAGGATCGCATGGTGTACCAGACCCTTGGATTAGTTGTTTCTGTGCATCTTTGGTTTTCTTCATTATTCTTTGCCCTGGATGAGGAGAGACCCATCATTATATCTAGATAGCTGCTTGCAAGCTTTCAAGATCTCAGTTACTACTCGCCAAAGTAGGATGTGGGACAATGTTTTTGTGTAGTATGTTATGCCAGTTGAGCTTGATGTCCCCTGCGACCATGGTCCCAAGCCCACAGGAACAATTACTTGCTCCCTCTGGGTAGATGGCTGTGGCCAAGAAGTGACTACAACCTTGTCCCTTGTCTGCTCTGCTATATACCTAGAAATTCTTATACAGCATACACATACACTTGTAGAAACATAGTCTGTCAACCCTATACATGGTCATGGGCACACTCCCCCTTGCATAGAACATATCTAATCATTCAGCCTGTCCACCCATCTATCCACCCATAGATCAGTGTTTGTAAAAGCTGTTCATTTATAAAGAAGGTCAAACACCGAATCCTGAGCTCCAGGGACTGCATCTATTCATTGTTATAATCAACACAGCAGCTTTTGTGTGTTGATTGCACAGTAAGTCTTACTTGAATATTTGTACCTCCCTCTCATTGGCATCAATAGACATCTGGAATTTTACCTGTGGCCTTTGTTTGAAATGGCCCTGTGTGGTGGTAGAGCTACTACTAATAATAGTAATTGTACTGATAAGAGCTTATTGTGTTCCAGTATTGGGCTAAGCCTTCCACCATTATCACATTTAATTCTTGCAGCAACTTTAGGAGGTAGGTATTATAGGAAGCTGAGCTCTGGTAGCTTAGTGCCTAAGGCACTTGACTGTTAACCAGAAGGCTGGTGGTTCAAACCCACCAGCCCCTCCTCGGAAGGAAGATGGGGCAATCTACTTCTGTAGTGATACTGCCTTGGAAACCCAAGGAGGGGTCGCTATGAGTCGGGTCCGACTCAACGGCACATAACAGCAACAACAACAAAGGTGCAAAGAGGTTAAATAACACATCCAAAGCCATAGAATTACCTAGCAGTAGAGTTGGGCCTCGTGCCCAGGCCACCTGCCTGCAAAGCCTATGTTCTAAACCACTCCCTGTTTAATTGACATGTGTGAGAACTGTTCTCAGGTACAATCTGATGGAGGGTCCATCTGACTAGATGAAAGAGAATTAGGATACAGGTCCAAAAAAAAAAGAAAAAAACTAAACTCACTGCCATCAAGTCAATTCCCACTCCTAGCAACCCTCATTGGATTTCCGAGGTGGTAAATCTTTAAGGAAGTAGATTGCCCCATCTTCCTTCCATGGAGTGACTGATGGGTTTGAACCTCTAACCTTCTGTTTAGCAGTCAAATGGCTTGGGCATTACATGACCAGAGCTCCTTAGGGTACAGGTTAGGCTACTGTGACAAAGTAACCCTCAAATAAACTAATTGCTATTGAGTTGATTGACTCATGGCAACCCCATCTGTATCAAAGGAGAACTGTGTACCATGATGTTTTCAGTGGTTGTGAGCTTCAGGAAGTAGATCACCAGGCCTTTCTTCTGAGGTACCTCTGGGTGGATTCAAATAAGGTACCTTCATCAGGAAGAAGCTTGTATCTTTCTCACACAGAAGTCTAGGCTGGTATGACTGTTCCATGGTCATCAGACACTCAGGCTTCTCCTTTCTCATTGTTCCACCATCATCAATGTGTGACGTCCATCTTGTGGTCCAAGATGGCTGTTCTGTTTCCTGCCGTGTCTTGTAGATTTTAACCAGGGAGGAAATACAAAATAGGCAACATATACCTTTCCTTGACAAGAGTGGGCCAGAAGTTGCATACATTACTACTTTTCATATCCTATTGGCCAGAACTTAAATCACATGACCACATGTAAATGCAAGGGGGTCTGGGAATTGTAGTCTTAAGCTGGGTGGCCCAGTCAAAACCAAACTCACTGCCCTCGAGTGGGATCCAGCTCATAGCGACCCCGCCTTGGGTTTCTGAGCTGATATCACTGTGAAAGTAGATTGCCCCATCTTCCTTCCAAGGAGTGGCTGGTGGATTAGCAGTCAAGTGCCTTAGGCACTACAGTCAGTCACTATTTGTGGGTTCTGTTAGAAAGGAGCTCTGTTGGTATAGTGATTAAACACTCAACTGCTAACCAGAAAGTCAGAAGATCACACCCACTAGCCAATCCACGGGAGGAAGATGTGGCAGACTTCCTCCGTAAAGGTTATAGCCTTGGAAACCGTTGGGGTAGTTCTACCCTGTCTTGTAGGGTCGCTATTAGTTAGAATCAACTCAGTGGCAATGGGTGTGGTTTTTTTGGGTTGCTGAGGAAGACAGGGAGAGTGGCTATTAGGGAGCAGTGTGCAACCTCTGCTACAAATGGATAGAGGTGGGGTGACCCTCTTGTGAGTAGAGAAGGCCTTAGCCATGGGGCCTGCCTGACTTGGCTTCTGTCTGTTCCACAGGTACAACTGTAAGGAGGAGTTCCAGATCCACGACGAGCTGCTCAAGGCCCATTACACGTTGGGCCGGCTCTCAGACGCTACCCCTGAGCACTACCTGGTGCAGGTGAGATCAAGCCCTGCCCTTTAGTCCTTCCCAGCCCTCTGGGCTTCTCCCCTCCCCCTCTTGTCCGCAGGAGTCTCCTCCCTTACCTTCTTCCTGCTCTCCCCTATTTCCTCTGTCTCACCCCTCTTAAAGGGCCAGGATGGCTTCACTGTCACCTGTACCCTCCAAGGTCCTGCTCCTGCTTTCTCTTACCCCTGAGTTGTTAGGGCCTCAGAAGGTATAGTGGTACAGTGGTTAAAGCATTCAGCTCCTAACCAAAAGATGGTGGTTCAAACCCACCAACTGCTCTGAGGGAGAAAGATGAGACCGTCTGCTTCTGTAATGATTTATAGCCTTGGACGGCCTATGGGATAGTTCTGTTCTGTCCTGTAGGGTCACTATGAGTCAGAAGCGACTTGGTGGCAGTGAGTTTGGTTTTTTTGGTTTGGTGGAGCCCCCTGCTCATCTATCCTCTGTCCACAGAGGCAGTTACATGTGGTCATGTGATTTTGGGGTGGGATGTATGTGTTGGGAGCCCCACCCTGGAGCCAACTCTGATTTCCTGTCCATTGGAGTAGGTTTCCTTGCCTTGCTTTATCCATGGGTCTGGCTCTTCCCTAGGAGATGCCACTTCCTACATCCCCTTCTCTGATTTCCTTTGGGAGGAGTTTCCTTTCCTGGTACTCTGTGACATGCTTCCACAGATGAGTCATGTTCTCCATAAGCCTGCAGGCAGCTTGAGGGCAGGTCCATGCTCCCCTCCCCCACCCTACCTCCTCCCCACCCTGGGGCTTGAGACAGAGTCCAGCCTGTAGACAGTACCCCTGGAGCCATCTGTCTGAGGCCCTGTGGCTCTGTTCCCTGCCAGGGCCGCTATTTCATGGTGAGGGACGTTGCTGAGAAGATGGACGTGCTGGGCACCATGGGCAGCTGTGGGGCCCCTAACTTCCGGCAGGTTCGGGGTGGGCTTCCTGTGTTTGGCATGGGACAGCCTAGTCTCTTGGGGTTCGAGCGGGTCCTCCAGACACTGCGGAAGGATGGGCACAGGGTGAGTACGCATGGGCTCTCTCACACACTAGCCGCCAAATCTGGGAAAAGGTCTCTCTAGAGAGGCAACTTCAGAGGCTCTGGAGGGGCCTTGGCTGCATGCTAAGAGGTCCCCTCTTCCCAGCTTGACTGCATGTGTTTGGAGAATGGGTCTGCTCCCATATTTCCCTCTGCCTGTGTGGTGCTTAGGGCATGAATGATTACATGGTGATGGTGGAGGCATTCATTTCATGCTTTTCGAGCACCTGATGGATCCAGGGCTCCATGCTGGGAATTAAGGGCATGTGAAAGTGAACAGGACATGATTCTGCCTGCAGGGAACTTGTCCATTATGGGAGAAAAGATGGATTCGTGATAATGTTAATATAAAGGAGGTGTTAACACTGTGACATTCAGATCAGGACTGTTGGCACTGAGAAGAGGGAGGGCTAAGAGGAGTGGCATCTGAACTGAGCTTTGCTACTTGGGTAGGATTCGGGCTGCAGAGATAGGCTGGGCGATGGGCCTCGGAGGAGGGAGGCCAGCCTGGGCAGAGGCCTGGAGGGGGCAGGTGGAGTGGGAGTTGATGGCTTCCTTGGCCCTCGGACCCCTCAGGAGTGCATCATCCTGTGTGTGCGGGAGGAGCCCGTGCTGTTTCTGCGCGTTGGTGAGGACTTCATGCCCTACAGCCCTCGAGACAAACAGAACCTTCATGACAACCTGCAGGGCCTTGGACCTGGGGTTCGGGCGGACAGCTTGGAGGTGGCTATCCGGAAGGAGGTGAGGGTGAGGTCTGGCACGCATGCGCGTGTGTGTGTGTGTGAGAGAGAGCTCCTCCTCCCTGCAGTTCATGGAGCAGCCAGATGTGGTACTTCCTATTCCCAGATTCCTTTGCCTCTGCCCCTTTTCCAAGGGGTCTGGTGGAGGAAAAGAGCCATAGACTAGGAGCCCCAAGACTGAAGTCCATGAGCTGTGAGGCCTTGGGTGAGTCACTCTTTCTGGGCCTCTGTTGTCTGGTCTTGAGATTCCTTACCTACCACACAGAGCCTTGTCGGGGTCACTGAGCCTGTTGACACTCATGGAGGCATGGAGTCACAGTGTCCCCAGAATCCAGTGGGCAGGAGTAGGCCATACTGGTGCTTGGCCACTTTGGCCCCCTTCTAGGCCTCGTGTGCTCCCTGCTCTATCCTTCTCCAACTCCCAGCTGCCCAAGCCTCCCCGTCCTGCTGTCAGGTGCTTGGCTAATTCCTTCCGCCTTCTAGGCAGAGCCCTTCCTACCTGGCCCTGGCATAGGTGGGATGCCCTTAGGCCAGTGGTCACAACCTGGTCCTATCAGGATGCACAGAGCAAAGAGAGCTTCTCTGGCCACCAAGTTCCTTCCTGGAGGGAAAGAAGCCTGTCAGTGGCCTCTGTGTAGCCTGCTCCAGAGCTTAGCCAGGAGGTTCAAGGGGGAGACAGGGAGGACTCAGGTGGGTATGTCATGATCCCCACACCTCTGTGTGTCTCTATGTGTATTTCTGTCTAGATCCATGACTTTGCCCAGCTGAGTGAAAACACATACCACGTATATCACAACACTGAGGACCTGAGGGGGGAGCCCCACACAGTGGCCATCCGAGGCGAGGATGATGTGCACGTGACTGAGGAAGTGTACAAGCGGCCCCTCTTCCTGCAGCCCGCCTATAGGTACCCCAGTGCCCTGAGGCTGAATGGGACCCCATTGTGCTGGCATGGGTGTACTCTGCCAAGTGCCCTCCCGCTGCAACCTGTTTCCCCATCTGCAGGCTGCACTGAGTTCCCCATTCCCATCTGTCTCCTTGGTGGCAGCATTTATGAACTTTGCTTGGCAATGTGGGGTTCGGGGGTGGGGGTGCCTAGGATGTGTGGCCTACCTGATGGGCTGTTCCACCTTACCTGGCAGGTACCATCGCCTGCCTCTGCCAGAACAAGGGGCCCCCCTGGAAGCCCAGTTTGATGCCTTTGTCAGTGTTCTCCGGGTAAGTGGGGTGGGTGGTGTGGTGGGGACATGCGTGGGGCTGCTGCCTTTGAGAGTTCATCTGTGTCTAGGCCCTGTCTCCTTAGTGATGCTCAGTGTGGCATGGCCTTTGGCTTTCCTCAGAGAAGGCCTTGTTCTGTGTCGTGTGTGAGGTCGTGGGTGTCGGGGTATGTGTTTCTGTGTGTATATATGTGCCTGAGTGTGTGTGTGTTTGTGTCTGTAGAGTGTGTATATACACATATGTGCACATTTTTGTGTGGTGTTTGGATGTTTCTGTGTGTCTGTATGTGTCTGCATGTTTCTGTGTCTCTAGGATGTGTATGTACACATATGTTCATGTTTCTTTGTCGTATCTGTGTGCCTCTCAATGTATGTCTAGGTGTTTCTGTGTGTGTGTCTCTGTGTATTTCTGTGTCTCTGGGTGTTTATGTGTGACAGCTGTATGTGTGTTTGTGGGTCATGTATATGTTTTTGTGGCTCTGTGGGGTGTGTATGTGTATGTCTGGGTGTTTCTGTGTGTGTCTCTGTATTTCTGTGTCTCTGAGGTGTGTATGTACATGGTGTCTCTGACATCTGTATGTGTGTCTCTGTGGGTCATGTATGTATATGTCTGTGTCTCTATGGGGTGTGTATCTATACATCTGCATGTGTCTCTGTGACATCTGTATATCTGTACATGTGCATTTATCTGCACGTGCACATGTGCGTGTGTCATTGTGCCTCTGGTCTGTCGGGTGTCTGCTTGTACATTCTTTGATGACAGAGTCTGGCGCTGACTGGAGAACTGGACTCTGGTCGTGGCCGGGCTGCTGACTCGCTAGGTTATCCTGAGTCTGTAGACCTCGGTTTCCTCATTTCTTTGGTTTAGACTCTTCAACTCATATTTCTTGCATACTGGTTGTGTGCCAGCTTCTGTCCCAGCCCCATCAGGGCATTTGTTACCTTACTTAATTTGCATCTCCCAAGGGTGGACAGTACAGGCCTTGTCCCCTCTGAAGGAGTCTCCTTTCAGAGCCCTTCCTCAGCACTAGCTCATTGAGCTCCACCTGGCCTGACACGGAGGCAGGGCTGTGCTCTTGGCGGAGCACATGGGCTGTGACGTTTGGTGACTTGGCCCACTGTCCTGAATGTCTTGAGGAAAGAGACAGAACCACATGTCTGACCCTGCCTTGCTGCACATTGTGGAGTGTGGGCAGATTTGATGTCATGACCCCTCTCCAACTTGGTCCTCAGCCCTGAGGGGTTTTTGGGCTCACAGTGTTGCCTGGTATTCCTGGTCTTTCCTCAGGAGACTCCCAGCCTGCTGCTGCTCCGTGATGCGCCGGCACCTCCCCCCGCCCTCCTTTTCAGCTGCCAGACGGGTATGGGCAGGACCAACCTGGGCATGGTCCTGGGTACCCTGGTCCTGTTTCACCACAATGGGTCCACCTCGCAGCCAGAGTGAGTAGCCTGGGACCTGATGTCTCAGGGGCCTGGGAACACAGAAAAGGAAGGATTGGCATACCTTGGGGATGACATGACCTGGAGCCTGCAGCCAGAGCTAGAAAGTGGGGCATCTGGGGTTCACCACAGACTTGGTGGGTGATCTGGAGAAAGTCACTTGACCTCTCTAGGCATGAAATGTCCTTTGCCTCCCTTAATCTCATTTGGAGGGAAGCCCTGGAGCCTGTTGTCTGGTGTCTCTCTCTGGCCGTATGAGCAGGAGGGAGCGGGCAGTGTGGCCACCCCAGAGTCACTGGGAGTGCTGACACATGCCATTGACCCCCCTTCCTTGTCAGGGCTGCTCCCTCGCAGACCAAGTCCCCACCCGTGGAGCAGTTCCAGGTGATCCAGAGCTTTCTCCGCACAGTGCCCCAGGGAAGGAAGATGGTAGAGGAGGTGAGTGAGAGGCTGGCAAGGAGCTGGGGCCTGGTCCATGGAGGATGTATGGCCACACCACCCACTGTGGATGGGGTGTCTTCCCCTGAGCTCTCCACCTTCTCCTAACCGTTTCCTTTCCATTTCTCTCTCTCCCTTTTCAATCTTCTTTTCGTCTTTTTTATGCCCTGGTCCTGGGTCCCAGGTGGACAGAGCCATCACCGCTTGTGCAGAGTTGCATGACCTGAAGGCAGTGATCTTGGAAAACCAGAAGAAACTGCAAGGTGTCCGGCCCGAGAGCCCAGCCCAGGTGAGGGAATGGCATGAGAGCCTCTGTTCCTACATCTGCCCTGCAGCCCGATACTGTGAGGCCTGGTGACTGGTTTCTTTCAGGCTGACTTCCTGGCTGCTACATCTCCCACAAGAAGAGCAGATTGCAGAGGAAGGGAGATGAGGGCGCGGGGCCTGCGGGAAGGATGGACGAGGAAGAGGGGAGTTTACTTTCCCTGGACAGGTCTCCTCAGCTGTAGGGTAAACAGGATGGAGGAGAGGCTGCTGGCTGCCCCCGCCCCCAGCTCCAGGGTGGACGGGCCTCTGGTGGCAGATGCTTCCCAGACTGCTCACCACTCTCCCCAAAATAAAGCCCAGGGGTTTCTTTGGGAAGGCCGGGTTTGGTCCAGCTCACTGCCTCTGGAAGAGTGATAGGTTCTCAGCTCATTCAGCAGACCCTGTCCCCTTGCTCTGGGGAGAGGAGGTTGGCTTGACAGGTGTTTGCTCACGGTGCCTGGAAAGAACCTTAAGCCTGCAGAGCCTCCCTTTTCTCAGATTTTTGCTGTTGTGTTGAGAATGCACGCAGCAGAATACACACTGGCTCAGCGGTTTCCACACAGGCATTTCAGTAACACTGACGGCATTCTTCAGGTTGGGCAGCCATTCTCACCCTTCTTTCCCAGGTGGTTCCTTCCCCATTCACGTGAACTGACTGCCCCTAAGTTTCCTATCTGATCTTTCGAGTTGCTATTGTCACTTTGATCCCACACAGAGAGTTCTTGAAAGAGCACAATGCTCAAGGCAGACATTTTTTATTAGTTAAGTGAGACTGTTGTTTGGTTTTAAGAAAACTTCAGGGAATATTTTTGGTTTAAGATTTAAAGATTCTTTCAGGGCAGTTGTTTTAAATGTTTATTCAGACTCCATGGCTCCAGAAAGTCTGGATTCCATGAGAATTTGAAATTTCGGCTCTGCATTTTCAGTCTGTTTCTTCTTTTACACTTCTTTTTTTAAAGAAAATGTAAAAGCAGTATTATATTACAGAAAATTGGGAAATAGGAAAGGGAAAAAATATCACCCACTAAAATATCTGCACTAGAGTTGCTTCCAATTGCTCACCAGTGTAAATAATTTTGTGATGAGCATCTTCATGCACAGAGACGAGGATTTTTTCCCTTAGTCTAGATTGTTGTTATGTGTGTCTAGCCGGACCTGACTCATAGTGACCCCTCCTTGGGATTCCGAGGCAGTATCACAACAGAAGTAGATTGCCCAACCTTCCTTCCAAGGAGTGGCTGGTGGGTTTGAACCGCCAGCCTTCTGATTAGCAGTCAAGTGCCTTAGGCACTACGCTATCAGAGCTCCTTAGGGGTTGGCAAACTATAGCCCAGATCCAGCTCACCACATGTTTTTTTAAATAAAATTTTATTGGAACACACTTTGTCTCTGGCTGCTTTTTTTTTTTAAATTATGATTTGGGTAAAAGTTTTCAGAGCAAATTCACTTTCTATACAACAGCTCACATACACTTTGTCTCATGACATTGACTACAATTTACCACAATGCAACAGCTCCCCTCCCACTTCCTCCCCATAGTTACCTATTGCCTGTGTCCTTCCTTCTATCTGTTCTGTCTGCTGAGTTGTCTCTCTGTGCATACACAGCCCTTCTATTCTCCCATGATTGATCTCTCCAAGGAGTGTATCTACCTAATGTAAATGTTTGGTTCATATGCCTGTCTTTTGTTTGGCTGGAAGCCACAGGAGTGGGTTTAGTTCCACACCTGAAGGGCAGCTAGGGGCCATAGTCTTAGTGGTTCAGGAGTTCCATCAAGTTCTATCAGACCATCAAACCTGGTCCCCTTTCCCCACCCCCAATGATTTTGAGTTTTATTCCACGTTGTTCTCCCGTTCTATCCAGGATCTCCTACGTAGGTCCCCCTCTGAGTGGTTGACAGTGGTATCCAGGCACCATCTAGTTCTTCTGGTCTCACAGTCGTATAGGCTGAGGATCACTTGGTGTACCAGTCTCTTGGACTAGTTGTTTCCATGTTTCTTTGGTTTTCTTCATTCTTCTTTGCTCTGGATGAGGAGAGACCCATTGTTGCATCTAGATGGCCACTTGCAAACTTTTAAGATCGACTCTAGTCGCTACTTGGTCTCTGGCTGCTTTTATGTTCCAACTGCGGTTGGGTGGTCGCCACTGAGGCTGTGTAGACCACATATCTAGAATATTTACTGTCTGGCCTTTGATAGAAGGTTTTCCCCATCTCTGGTCTAGCTTCCTAAAGGTGGAATAAAACTTCCCCCAAGGGCCTGGCCTTCTTTAGGACTTTATGCTCATTTTGGTTATCCCCCAAAGGGTAGTTCTGATCCAGCAGGAGATGCCTCACATAGTAGGGTTGAGAGGGGACTTTTGGGCTGATCTCTGACAACTCCCTGCCCAGCAGATGCTGGTCTGGCTTAAGGAGACTTGTTTGGGTAGGGACCCAGCTCTGCTTGTCATTGGCTGTGTGACTGTGAGCGAGTCAGTTAATTGCCCTGAGCCTCAGTTTCCCACCTTTTTGTTGCCTAGTGGTGAGGGTTTGTAATTCTTAGCAGGGTCTCTGGCTCTGGGGAAGGCATTCAAACATCTACCCCTCCACCACTGAGGGTGCCCAGCCCTGAGATGGCACTGGAACAAGGTGGGAGGAGCCTGGCCTGCTCCAGGCTTCTGGTCCCTGGGGAGGCATCCCTGCAAGAACTGTGGGGCCTGGGGGGAGGCACCAGCAGCTCACCATGGATTAGCTGTAGGAGGAGTAGGGTTAGACGCTTGGAAGAACTTCCAGGTTGGCAGACCTGTGTTATGGAGAGAGGAATAGACTGTCTTGGGGATTTCTGAAGCTGAACTCTTGGCCTTCCAGAGATGGTGACTGGACGGCCCCATCTTAGACACCCTGCCCTTTTCTTGCCCCTTGGCCCCATCTTAGACACCCTGCCCTTTTCTTGCCCCTTCTTCTAGGGGAGTGGCAGTCAGCACAGTCTCCGGCAGAGGGCGCTGTGGAGCCTGGAGCGATATTTCTACCTGATTCTATTTAACTACTATCTCCATGAGCAGGTGAGGCTTGGGGATAAGTGGACCTGTGCCACCTTCTTGGGCCCCTTAGTCCCCACCATGGAGCTAGGAGGAGAGTGGGTGTGTGTGTGCTGATCCCAGAGGGAGGTGGTAAGGGTGATCTGGGTATAGGCCCCCAGAGGCCCAGGTAGAGGAGTGTCCCTGGGCAGCATGACAGAGCAAGACCTCCCTCTCTTTCTCGTGGTCCCCAGTCTGTACCCTTGGCCTGTGATCAGGGCCTGGAATGTTCCAGCTTCAGCCTCCCTGGTCTTCTCTTACTCACCGCTTTCCCCTCCCTTGGGTCCCAGTGGATTGTCACAAGGCTCCCCCACCGTGAGTGGGCAGGGAGAGGTCAGGATGACCCTGTTCCCCTGAACTCTGCGTCTCTCTCACCTCGGGCTGCAGTACCCGCTGGCCTTTGCCCTCAGTTTCAGCCGCTGGCTGTGTGCCCACCCGGAGCTGTACCGCCTGCCCCTGACGCTGAGCTCAGTGGGGCCTGTGGCCCTTGGGGACCTCATCGCCAAGGGCTCCCTGGTGAGTGTGCCTGGCTGTCTTGGAGCCAGTGGAGTGGGTGTGGCTTGGCCCTGGGGCACTAGACCCTGGATGCCTGTGGGATTAGATTAAGGTTGCCCTCCAGAGGTGAAGGGGTCATGGCCTGTGAGGTGAGGCTCCTACAGTGAGGGAAGTGGGGTTGTTCTTAGGTCCCAAGAAGCTTTTACAGACTTGGCTGCTCCTCTAGTACCTTCTCAGTCTCAAACCTGAGAGCTTTGGGTGAGGACTCGGGGACCTGGATTCTGGTATCTTTGACACCAGCTTCTTATCTGTGAGCCTCAACAACTTCCTTATGTGGAGAGCGGGCACCAACACTCTTACTCTCACTAGGGCAGTGGTGAGGTGTCACGTGGGCAGAAGTGCTTGGTAAACTGTCAAGCCCCCTCTGGGCTCTGTCTCAAGCTGGTTGGCCTCAGGCCGGGCTCTGGACCTCTCTGAGGCTGCCGTTGGCATCTCTGGGTCCCAGACTTGGTGCTCTTCCTCAGGGAGTGGACGATCTTATCTCCCCGGATGCACTCAGCACTGTCAGAGAGATGGACGTGGCCAACTTCCGGCGGGTGCCTCGTGTGCCCATCTATGGCACTGCCCAGCCCAGCGCCAAGGTGACTAGTCTGGGGGCCTGAGTCCACTTGCAGGGAAGGGATGGGGGAGGGTTGTGTTGGGCCCTTCTGTTTCACTGACCACCCTCCTCTTCCCTCAGGCCCTGGGGAGCATCCTGGCCTACCTGACCGATGCCAAGAGGAAGTTACGGCAGGTCGTGTGGATCAACCTGAGGGAGGAGGCCGTGCTGGAGTGTGATGGGCAGACCCACAGCCTGCAGTGGCCTGGGCCCCCCATGACCTCTGACCAGCTGGAGGTGAGACCTCCTTCCTTGGATGCCTTCTGGGGAATTGGCCTGGGAGGGTCTTTGAAAGGGTTCTTTATTTACTTCCATAGTGATACAGTCTTGGGAACCAAAGGAGGTGTTGCTGTGAGTCAGATCTGACTTGGTGGCAATGATGGGGAAACTGAGGGAGTGGATGGTTTGGGAAATGCACTCTGTGCTCTTGATGCCTCCTTGGCTCCAGGTGTGGTTATGACCACACACGCACACATGCACGCACGCACACGTGCACGCCCACACACACACCAGGCTCAGGTAGGGGCGGAGCCAGTCTTGGCCATAACCCGCTCAGGCCCGGAGGCTGCCTCGGTGGCCTAAGCCTCTGTCCCCCTCCCCCAGAACCTGGAGACCCAGCTGAAGGCTCATCTGAGTGTGCCTCTGCAGGGCACGGAAGGCCTGTCAACCCGCAGGTTCCAGACGTGCCTCACCATGCAGGAGGTTTTCAGCCAGCACCGCGGGGCCTGCCCTGGCCTCACCTACCACCGCATCCCCATCCCAGATTTCTGTGCCCCCCGTGAGGAGGTGAGGAGCTGGGAGGTAAAGGAGGCCCCCCCTTGCTCCCCTCTAGCCTGGGTCTTGGCTGTGGGCATGGCTCAGGGAGGAGCAAACCATCCCAGGTTACCTGCAGAGGTGGGAAGATTGTGTCACAGGTTTTCAGATTTGGCCCAAGTAGTTTATTCATATCCCTTCTAGCTTTATGTTCGATCATGTGTGTATATGTGTGTGTATGTATTGTGTGTTGTAGGTTTACATGGGTATGCTGGACATGTCCATGGCATTTGCGGTGCATGTGTATCTTTGTGGGGGCAATGTGTATGGAGTGTGTGTGGATGTTTTTGTGGAGTGTGTGTATGGGTGTGGTATGTGTTTCAGAGGAGTTTGTAGTACATGTGTTGTCTTTATTGGGAGGTATTGAGAGTATGTCTTTGGGGGGGAATGTGGGGGCTTTGTGGAGGAGAATGCATATGAATGCTGGTGTGTGACTTTGAAGGTGTTTGTGCAGGCGTGGCATCCATGGGTTTGTGATGTATGTGTTTGTGGGGCATCTTTATAGTCTGTGTGTCTTTAAGATGTGTGTACATGGAATCCCTGGGTGGGGCACACAGGTCATACCCTCGGTTACTAACTGAAAGGTTGGCGGTCAGGACCCACCCAGAGGCATCTTGGAAGAAGGTCATGGGGATCTACTTCTGAAAAATCAGCCATTGACAGTTACGGGTTTAGAGTCTTGGGGACACCTAGGTCAATTGACATAACATAGTCCACAAAGACAGTGTTGTACATCCTGCTTGGTGAGTAGCGACTGGGGTCTCAGAAGCTTGTGAGCAGCCATTTGTGGAGCGACTATTAGTGTCTCCCCGCCTGGAGCAGAGGAGAGTGAAGAAAATCAAAGATACGTGGAAACAGTCTGAAGGACTCGTGAGCCCCAGCCTTTATTACCCTGAGACCAGAAGAACTAGATGGCGCCCAGCTACCACCCCTGATTATTCTGAAAGGGATCACAATAGGGGTCCCAGGTAGAGTAGGAGAAAAATATGAAACAAACACAAAATCACAAAAAAGACCAGGCTGCCTGGTTGTATAGAGACTGGTGGAACCCTTGAGACTGTGGCTTTAGACACCCTTCAAGCTGGGAATTGAACTCAACTTGACTTAACCTTTCAGCCAAATGATGGACAGGCCTAGGCCTACAAAAGTAAACAGTAACACAGAAAGGTATGCGCTCGTTAGAGCAGTCAACCACATGAGCAGGCAAAAGGACAGCATTTGCCCAGGGATTAAATGCCCAGAAGGCAGGAAGAGATGGGAAAGGAGGACAAAGCGAAATGGTAAACACAAGGAGGAGGTGGGAAGAGTGCTGTTGTAGGGATTTCAGTGAATGTCACAAAATGTGGATGTACTGTTGAGTGCAAAACCAGTTTGCTCTGTAAACGTTCACTCAGATCATCATTTTGGGGGGAAAAAAACCTTCTGGTTCACAGTTCTACTCTGACACACGTGGTGCTACCTGCTGTTACTTGAGATTAACTTGATGGTAACTGGTGTACGTCTGTGTATACGTGCCTGGCACGTATTGTGTGCGGGATGATGTGTGATGCATGGTGTTTGGCTGATATGTTTAGGGTCTGTGCTGTGCTCTGAATTAGTTAGAGGTGGTGACTGGGGCTTGTATTTCCTGCCACATTTTGACCTGTGGGTCTCATTGCCCATGGTTTGCTGCCCCCTGGTGGTCAGGTGATTGTCTGTGGTCAGGACCCTGCCCTCAGGCTGGGCCTTGGGTTGCGTCCAGCTCAGGTGGTTAGCAAGGTCAAGGACATGTGAAGTTGTGGGCAATGGGGTTGTGCTTTGGGGGCTGTGCGCTGGATCCGTGTATAGCTTGGAGGCACAGAACTTGGGAGTGAAGTACGTATATACATGTCCTGCCTGGTGGTGGGTGGGCAATGTAAACCCCAAGTGCATGCTTATGTTTGTGCACCCGTCCCAGGTGTGGGTGAGGGGGTTATTAGTGTACACGACAGTGTAGCCATTTATGTGCTTGTGGTGTTATCTGTACAATGTGAGTGGCACGTGTGCATGCAAGGTGGTGTCTGGTACAGAGCTTCGCATAGGGGAACATTCAAGGCAGTTGCTTCTGTTCCATTTGGTGGTCAACCATATTGGGAATGTCTGTGCAGCCAGAAGCCCCCCGACTCAGTCCTTGGCCTCCCCACCCAGGACTTTGACCGGCTGCTTAAGGCCCTGCGGGCTGCCCTTGCCAAGGATTCAGGCACCGGCTTCGTGTTCAGCTGCCTCAGCGGCCAGGGCAGGACCACGACTGCAATGGTGGTGGCTGTGTTGGCCTTCTGGCACATCCGGGTATGTATGGCTTCATATGAGGGTGTGGTCCACTAAGCAGGGATGGGCACCGGGTCCCCGGTGCACTGGCTATGGCAGTGGGGTACGAGGGAAGGAGCTGGTACGTGGTGCACCCTCACATTCAGGCTAAGAGCATTTGGGGTTGGCCACACTAAGCCAGGGACTCCTGGTTGTGGGGCAGGGGCGAGTCAGGGTGAGGTGCCCAGTCCCAGCAGCTGTCCTCCTCCCAGGGCTTTCCTGAGGTGGGTGAGGAGGAGCTTGTAAGCGTGCCCGATGCCAAGTTCACCAAGGGCGAGTTTGAGGTGAGTGGATGCTGTGGGGCCAACCACAGGCTCCAAGTTCCATGGGGTACGGGGTGGTGCTCAGAGGCAGCCATTGAAATTGTTTGTAGGGAGTTATGAGCAAGGCTGAAGAGGCAGGCAAGGTTACTCTGTGAGGGCCTTGGGGATCTGGACAAAGTTACTGGTTTTATGCTGAGGGTGAGGCTTCCGTGAAGAGATGGAAACCTAGGAGAGACATGCCTACATTTATATTTTAATAAAACCTGGCTGGCTACCCAGGAGGGTTGGAGAGAATGGGGGGCACAGGAGAAGGTGGGGAGACCAGTTAGGGGCTGCCACAGTCTCGGTGAAAAGTAAGCCTGGATTAGTGGCTGAGGAGGGGGGTGGAGAGGACAGATTTGGAGGGCTTAGCGGTGGGGGGGGGAACGGGAAAGAGGGAGTGCAGGAGTCTTGGGGGCCCTTCAGACTGACTTTCACAGGCCTGAGTCCCAGAGGTGGGGGCTGACATCACTGAGTGGTGTCCATGCTGGGCTCCATAAACCAGGTGTCCCCCAAGGAGTCTGGCACCACTACAGGGTGGGAGGAGGGCCTAGAGCCCTGAACTCTGGCTTATCATACCCCCTCTCCTCACCCGCATCAGTCCCAACTCTTGAACTCCTGTTTCATGCATTAGAGCTGCAGATAAGATTTTTCTTTGGTGAGGCTTTCTTTTGCTTAAATAGTAAGCTCCTAGGGAACCCTGGCCTCAGAGATGTCCAGCCCCCCACCAGCCCTGGCCCCCACTCTGTCAGGCTGAGGAAAAGCTGCTGCATCTGTGGTCAGGGCTGGGCCTTGGGACCTTCTGTGCCCCTTGGCATGGCTGTGAGCCTGGTCCTGGGGCTGGAGGCTCCTGCCTGTTGCCCCCACCCACCCTGCTGGTTTTCTCTCTGCTCACTGCCCCACCCCCCCGGCCCCAGGTAGTGCTGAAGGTGGTACAGCTGCTGCCCGATGGGCACCGTGTGAAGAAGGAGGTGGATGCAGCGTTGGACACAGTCAGCGAGACTATGACACCAATGCATTACCACCTGCGGGAGATCATCATCTGTACTTATCGCCAGGTCAGCCCCACCCCACCCACCCCTGGGGCCTCAGGGAGTCACTGCAGGCCCTGCCTTTATCAGCTCTCAGTCACTTCTTCATCTTTCGGAAGTGGTGGTGCAGGTGGTCCCCTAAATAGAAACACCCCCAGCCCCAAGTAACCCCAGCTTGATTCTGGAATGCTTAGTGGGACATATGCAGGCACCGTGTTCAAAGCATTTAACAGTTGTTGCGGCTCTGGGGCCAGTCAGAATGGACTCCCAGCTCTAGATCCCCTGTGATGCTGGGCTCTAGCCCTCTACCTTCTGGGCAGGGATCAGGGGGTGGGCCTTGGGGACTGGCTGTTCAATATTTTTACAGCTGATAAGACCGAGCTGGGCTGTCAGTGCAGGATATAGGGGTGTCCGTGCTGCCCTGGGACTAGATCTGGCCCCCAGATGGACTTTGGTCAGCTTAGTTAAAAATTATTATTGAATAGCTCATTAAAGAAAGAAGGAGCCACCCACTTCTCAAAGAATTGGCCAGTGAAAACTTTATGAATAGCAGTGAAACACTATCTGATATAGTACTGGAAAACTTTTATGAGTAGCCCTGAAACATTATCCAATATAGTGCCAGAAGATGATCCCCTCAAGTTGAAAGGCACTCAGAATGCGACTTGGGAAGAGCTGCCTCCTCTGAGTAGAGCTGACCTTAATGATGTGGATGGAGTAAAGCTTTCGGGGCCTCCATTTGGTGATGTGGCACGTCTCAAAATGGGAAGAAAGATGTGCAAACATCCATTAATATTTGGAACATGGAATGTGCAAAGTATGAATCTAGGAAAATTGCAAGTTGTCAAAAATGAAATGGAATGCATAAAGATTGATATCCTAGGCGTTGTTGTTATATGCCGTCGAGTCGGCCCTGACTCACAGCGACCCCCTCCTTGGGTTTCCAAGGTAGTATCACTACAGAAGTAGATTACCCAACCTTCCTTCTGAAGAGTGGTTCAAACCCACCAGCCTTCTGGTTAGCAGTCAAGTACCTGAGGCACTATGCTACCAGAGCTCCTAGGCATTACTGAGCTGGAATGGACTAGTTTTGGCCTTTTTGAATCCGACAACCATATGATCTACTGTGTTGGGAATGACATATTGCAAAGGAATGGCATGGCATTCATCGTCACAAAGAATGTGTCAAGAACTATCTTGAAGTACAAAGCTGTCAGTGATAGGATAATATCCATATGCCTACAAGGAAGACCAACCAGTACATATGACTACTGTTCAAATTTATGTACCACCCACCAAAACCAAAGATGAGGAAATTGAAGATTTTTACCAAGTTCTGCAATCTGAAAGTGACTGAACATGCAATCAAGATGTGCTGATTATCACTGGTAATTGGAATGCAAAAGTTGGAAACAAAGAAGAATCACCGGGAGCTGGAAAATACAGCTTTGGTGATAGAAATAACGCTGGAGATCGCATGATAGAATTTTGCAAGACCAATGACTTACTCATCGCAAATACATTTTTTTCAACAACATAAATGGTGGCTATACACGTGGACTTCACCAGATGGGAGTACACAGGAATCAGATCAACTGCATCTGTAGAAAGAGGTGATGGAGAAGCTCAATATCTTCAGCCAAAACAAAGCCAGGAGGTGACTGTGGAACAGACCATCAGCTATTCATACGCAAGTTCAAGTTGAAGCTGAAGACAAAACAAGTCCACAAGAGTCAAAATATGACCTTGATTATATCCCTCCTGAATTTAGAGACCAATCTAAAGAATAGATTTGATGCATTGAACACCAGTGACTGAAAATCAGAGAATTGTGGGATGATACCAAGAACATCATCCATGAAGAAAGCAAGAGGTCATTAAAAAGGAAAGGAAGAAAAGACCACAGTTGGATATCAGAAGAGACTGAAACTTGCCCTTGAACGGAGAGTAGCTAAGGCAAATGGAAAAAATGACAAGATAAAAGAGCTGAGCAGAAGATTTCAAAGAGCAGCTTGAGAAGACAAAGTCAGTTATAATGAAATGTGCAAAGATCTGGAGTTAGAAAACCAAAAGGGAAGAACATGTTCAGTGTTTCTCAAGCTGAAAGAACTGAAGAAAAAATTTAAGCCTTGAGTTGCAATATTATAAGATTCTATGGGTAAAATACTGAATGATGCAGGAAACATCAAAAAAAGATGGAAGGAATACACAGTCACTGTACCAAAAAGAATTGATCAATGTTCGTTCATTTCAGGAGGTAGCATATGATCAAGAACCAATGGTATTGAAGGAAGAGGTCAAAGGTGCACTGAAGGAATCGACGAAGAATAAGGCTCCAGAAATTGACGGAAAACCCATTAGGATGTTTCAACAAACAGATGCCACGCTGGAGGTACTCCCTTGACTATGCCAGAAAATTTGGACGACAGCTACCAGGCCAACTGACTGGAAGAGATCCATATTTGTACCCATTCCAAAGGAAGGTGATCCCACAGAATGTGGAAATTATCAAACACTATCTTTAATATCACACATAAGTAAAACCTTGCTGAAGATAATTCAAAAACGGTTGTAGCAGTATATGGACAGCTTCCAGAAATGCAAGCTGGATTCAGAAGAAGATGTGGAATGAGGGTTATTATTGCTGATGTCAGATGGATCCTGGCTGAAAGCAGAGAATACCAGAAAGATGTTTATTTGTGTTTTATTGACTATGCAAACGCATTTGATTGTGTGAATAATAAATTATGGATAACATTGAGAAGAATGGGAATTCCAGAACACTTAATTGTATTCATGAGGAACCTGTGCATAGACTAGGAGGCTGTCATTCAAACAGAACAAGGGGATACTGCATGATTTCAAATCAGGAAGGAAGTATGTCAGGGTTGTATCCTTTCACCACAGTTACTCAATCTGTAGGCTGAGCAAATAATCCAAGAAGCTAGACTATATGAAGAACGTGGCATCAGGATTGGAGGAAGAATCATTAACAACCTTTGATACACGGGTAACACAACTTTGCTTGCTGAGAGTGAGGATGACTTGAAGCAACTTACTGATGAAGATTAAAGACAACAGTCTACAGTATGGATTCCACCTTTAAATATAAAGAAAACAAAAATCCTTACCAATAAGTAGCATAATGATAAATGGAGAAAAGATTGAAGTTGTCAAGGATTTCATATTACTTGGTTCCAGAGTCAACACCAATGGAAGCAGCAGTTAAGACATCACATGACATATTGCACTGGGCAAATATGTTGCAAAAGACTTCTTTCAAATGCTGAAGAGCAAAGATGTCTCTTTTAAGATTAAGGTGTGCCTAACCCAAGCCCTGGTATTTTCAGTCGCCTCATGTGCATGTGAGAGCTGGACAATGAATAAGGAAGACTGAAGAAGAGTTGATGGTTTTGAGTTGTGGTATTGGGGAAGAATATTGAAAGTACCATGGACTGCCAAAAGAACTAACCAATCTGTCCTGGAAGAAGTGCACCTGGAATGCTCCTTGGAAGCGAGAATGGCCAGACTTGTCTCACCTGCTTTGGTCATGTTGTCAGAAGGGACCATTCCCTGGAGAAGGATATCATGCTTGGTAAGGTAGAGGGTCAGTGAAAAACAGGAAGGCCCTCAACGAGATGGATTGACACAGTGGCTACAACAATGGGCTCAGGTATAGCAAGGATTGTGGGGCTGGCACAAGACCGGGCAGTGTTTCATTGTGTTGTACATCGGGTCGCTATGAGTTGAGCCGACTTGATGGCACCTAATAACAACAGCAGCAGCTCATTAAAATCTAAAAATCAGATGATTTTCATTTAAGTCCACATTTCATGTAAAAATCAATTAAAAACCTATCTAGGAAAAAATGGAGTAAATTGGCTATGTTGGCCCCACTTCCTTGCCAGGCAGGGGGGTCATGTGCCCTTAGTCTGCCTTGGCCCCTGCATACACATTCAGCCTCCTCTGCCTAGCTGTTTTGACCCCAGTGCTCAGCTGACCTTCCTGCAGCTGAGCACATGTTGGTGAAATGAGTGATCATAACCAGCCTTTGCTCAGGGCTTTAGATGAGACTGATTGGGGTGAAAGGTGGCTGGCTGACAGAAGGCTGGTCCGGGTAGGTCTTAAGGTAAGAGGTCAGTTGGGAGGGAGTTGGCAGAGATTAGGAAGATGCCAAATGTGGGGAGGTTAAGAAGTTTCAGAAGATGGACTTGCTTGTCTTGAGGGCCAGCCACCTGACTGTATCTGTGAGGTGCCTTTCTGTGCCCATGTTACCTTGAGCCCTGCTCACAGTGGTCTCAATGGCAATGAGTTTGGTTTGGTTTTGGTTCATAGTGCCACCACTGGGTGGCAGCAATGAGCTAAGAGGCTGAACTTCTCTTAAGAAGATACCGGCTTTTGCCAAAATCCAGTGAAAAACCCATTGACATCAAGTCGATTCCGACTCATGTTGTTGTTGTTGTTGTTGTTATGTGCCGTCGAGTCGGCCCCGACTCATAGCGACCCCTCCTTGGGTTTCCGAGGCAGTATCACTACGGAAGTAGG